AATGTAATAATAATTTTAAAGTAAATGTAAATTTTTGTATTAGGTACTAACTTAGGATAAGAAACATTGTTACTAACAGCCCTATGAATGTGTTAAAATGAATAATATATCTAAAGTACACTAATTAGTCTATATATCCTTAATGAAACTAATTAAATTAACACAAAGAAACAGATATTATGCAAACAAAATGTAAATACACAAAGCCCAACAGTAAAACTTAAAAAAGCAATGTAAGTTACAGAGTTTAAAAAAGCCCATAGGTTTACTGTTGGGCTTTTTTTAATTCTACATCATACATTGCTTTCTTATGTTTGTATTCTAATAATAAAATTTTATATTTTAAATCAATCTTTTGGTCATTTGCAATTTCTTGCTCCAAGCGGAACATTTATTTTTGAAATTTAATTTTTCTTTGTTCAATGTCTTCTTCTATTAATTTAGCTTTTAAAGCATCAATAGAAGAAGACTTTGAAAGGTAAGTGGTGTATTTTTTTGCAGAAGTCTTTAAAGCTGGAGTGCTCTTTGAGGGTGCAGAGCTTGTAGTAGCCGTGGCAGTGCTGGTTGTAACGATAATATTGATATCTGTTGCACTTGTGGTAGTTGTAGTAACTGCTACTTTGTCAGTGATCTTCTGGCATTGAAGATACTATCACCTCATTGATATCTTCTAGGAAGTAATCTTCAATGCAGTCTGGGGAAGTCCTTCTCATTTTTTTTGGTTTCCAGGCGAAAGAGTCATCATCTCCAGCAACACTTTCACCTGGACCTATAACAATAGTATTTCTGGATTTAACAAAGCTCCAGCAATTTTTCTAAGCTTTTCCTAAAAAAATTTTTCTATTTATACGTACCATCACTGTCTTTTTCGATATTTATGCTAGGCATGAGATGAGGCACCATAGATAAAACAGATTCATGATCTGGATCCACGTCAGGTACAAACGGCCCTCCACCTGTGTGAGACCTCTGTTTTTCTAGACTTTTAGCATCCCTTGCTCTAGCTTTCATGTTAAGCCATAGTTTTTTAAGCTGCTGACTTGTAGCCTGTAACAGATTTTAATAAAAAAAACTTAAGTGGCTTTTTTATTTAACATAAAATACGCTTTAGATATTTCTATTAACTGAAAAAGGAAAAAAAAAGGTTGAACAATAAAAAACAGTTAAATAGGTATTAAAAGCATTCATGCTTACGTGTTGAACTTGAGGAGAAGAGTTAAAGGTGTCTGCAACTTTACCCCAAAGTTCAGCTTTCTTCTTTATGAAGTCTGCATCTGTTCGTTTTGATTCCAGCACGTTTATGTGTGGAATCAAAATTTCCTTTAAATATTCTTTCGCGAAAGAAGTGAATGCAGATTTCCGAGAACTCATTTTTCAAAATTGCTCGACGTTGAAACACTTGTGCCCATAAGTAGCGATACGATAGTATTAAATTCCCTTCGAGTGGAAACCCAAAAAACCGCGCGCTTTTGACGTCACGATACATTTTTTTTGTATCGATGTGTATCGGCAGTTTTATTTTCTATCTCAACTCTCACACTCAATTTTGCAATATAGCTATCCTTGTCTACAAAATTAACAAGGCTGCGCATTGTATGTAAAAACCGAAGACTGAATTTAAAAATAAAAACTGGTGCAAATTTATAATGTCTATACTTTGACGTCATATCCTTTTGCTAAGCATTGACTCGGCTGAGCCAAGCGAAGTTTGAGACGACCGCGCGTCTCTGAATTCCAAAAGTTGAGACGATGCTAAGCGTGTTCTCGAAGTTGCAGTTGACAGCTCTCTTCCAATTGCTAAGAAAAAAAAAACGATGGGAAACTCGAACGTGAAAGGCGCGTTTTTTAAAAATAGTATTTTTGGTTAATAACACTATAGATGAAAAAAACGCGGGAACCTTCCGAAACTGGCGGGTGCATTTTTTCTGGTTGTAGTGGTTTTTGTTGTTTTTGCGGGATCAGGAGAGTTCTGTTTGTATTTATTGTATATAATCTTTAATTTAGTACCTGTGTAAATATTTGTAGTGTATATATTTTCCGCTTCGGGTAAGTTTTTCATTTCAGGTCTAGAAAATGCGGAGTAGTGCCATCTATAGTGTTTTTTTGTTGTTTCTGGCACTTCGCAACTTCGCACTTCGAACAGGGAAACTTATTCATGGATGTTATAATTATTGTTGAATGGTCGTAACTACAAATAAGATATTTATTTTGGAGAATTTAAATCACGTAAAATATATTCAATTGCTTCAGACACTGACGTGAGCAGAGATAAAAAAAAGATAGAACATAGATAAAAAGTAAACTGTTAGTGCTGTTCCATCACTCCTCCTCACTAAGGGTCGAGGCCAAGGTTCTTAATAATCTTTATTAGACTGGGACCTGGTAAAGCCTTAGTGAACATATCAGCTTCTAATTCATCGGTTCTTTTATATTGCAGCTTAATGAAACCTTCAGACACCTTTTCTTTAATAAAGTGTCTTCTTATTTGAATATGTTTCGAACGTTTGTCCACAATCGGATTTCTTGCTAACTGTTGTGCTGCCTGATTGTCATTATATAAGACCATGACCTTTTGATCAATTCCAAGATCTTCACACAATTGTAGCAAGTACATGGCTTCCTTAGCTGCTTCGGTCAATGCCATATATTCACTCTCTGCGGTTGAGAGAGCCACAGTTCGTTGTTTCTTAGATTCCCAGCTTACAATACCACTGGCATATGTAAAACAGTACCCACTATATGATCTACGGTCAATTTCACACGTAGCCCAGTTGGCATCTGAGAAACCTTCTATTGGCTTCTGTGCTCTCCTGTAGGTGATACCCATTTCTATGGTTCCTTTCAAATATCGAAGAATCCTTTTTAAACTTTTATAGTGTTCTTCAGTATAACAATTGTTGAACTGACTCATATAGGATACTGCGTAGGAGATATCTGGCCTTGTGGCCACTGCCAAATACATTAGACCTCCAATCAAGTTTTGGTACGGATAATCATTGATATTTGTTTGTGCTTTAGCTGGACCCTTTAAAAACTTTGTGCCAGGTTCCATTGGAGTTTTTGACGGCTTGCAGTCTTCCATGCCATAGGTTTTAAGTAGTTTTTTGATATATGTAGATTGCGACATTTTTAATGTGTTTTCAAGTTTATTATATTCAATTTTTATGCCCAATATTTGATCTACTTTAAGTTCTCTCATACAAAACGTTTTTAACAACCTTTGTTTAACGTCATTCCATTTATTACCTTTAAAAGTAACAATAATGTCATCAACGTATATAGCGATGTTAATAATATCTTCCTCTCCCCCTTTCACATTAAGTCTATATACGCAGGGATCAGCATAGGATGGGAAGAAATTCAAAGCTTTTAAAGTACTGTCAAGTTTTTCAAACCATTGTCTTGGCGCTTGTTTTAAGCCATACAGCGCTTTCTGTAAAAGGCATACTTTAGGCTTTTTTATATTATTTTTTAAATCTTGTAGCATAATCCTTGCTGCTTCCGATTGTTCTTCGTCATTTTGTATTATCTCGCATAGGATTTTTTGCATTTGATCAGGTATTTTCATATAGATTTTTTCATGCAAGTCTCCATTTAGAAATGCAGTTGTGACATCTAACATTTCTATATTTAAGTTATTTTCAATAGCATTTGCCATTACCATTCTAATAGAGCTTAATTTTGATACAGGTGAATAAGTTTCATCGAAATCGATCCCAGGCATTTGGTTAAAACCTCTAGCTACTAATCTAGCTTTTAATCGTTCGACTTTTCCATCAGCTGTGTATTTTTCTTTTAATATTATTTTGTTAGTTACTATGTTCATACCTTCTTCTTTATCTATAATTTTCCATGTTCCATTTTTCAGGTGAGCTTTGAACTCTGCTTTTATAGCTTCATGCCATTTAGAGTCTGATTCGTCTTTATCCGAATCACATAGGTAAGCATAATCATTCTCATTATCATTTACAATTTCATCAGTAGTTTTCATTACATAGTCTTTGGACCAAATAGGTAATTTCTTTATTCTTTCAGAACTTTGACGAGGCTCTATTCCATCAACAGCGTTTTCAGCAAGAGAAGTGTGGGTTTCAACCTCACTATCATTATCAGACTCAGTATTTAGCTGAGTATTGCTCATATCAAGGAAACATTCCTTGCCGGGTTGCTGTCCGGACAGCAAACACGTCAATAAAGTTTTGTTCATCAATATTCTGTTCCTTATTTGTAGAGTCTTCAGTTGCAAAATACATTTTATTTACAATACGTACATCTCTGCTAATTACAACATTATCTGTCTTGGGTAGATAAATCAGATAGGCTTTTGATTGCTCTGAATATCCTGCAAACATACCTACAGATGCTTTTGGTTCAAATTTAGTTCTGTATCGCTTATTCAGTACAAAGGCTTTTTGACCAAATATGTGTAGATGTAACCCAGAAGGGACACGACCGACCCATTTTTCAAAAGGTGTGTCATTATTAATACTTTTATTTATGCATCTATTTGATAGGTAATTTGCGGTATAAATAGCTTGACCCCATAGTTTCTCAGGTGCTTTTGACTCTATTAACATAGTTCTAGCTTTTTCTTGTAAGGTTCTATTTTTCCTTTCTGCTAGACCATTTTGTTTAAGCCTCCTTATTCCATTTTGATTAAGGTAATTTTGAAAGTCTTCATTTAGATATTCTTTACCATTGTCAGTTTGTAGGCATTTTATTTTTAAATCAAGCACATTTTCCATTTCTTCTTTGTATATCTTAAAGCATTTTAGAGCTTCATTCTTTTGTTTCATGAAGTAAACACGAGAGTAACTCGAGAAATCATCAATAAACGTTATGAAATATTTATTTCCTGCATGCGTTGGTACTCGCATTGGACCACATAAATCGCTGTGAACAATTTGTAACGGTTTATTAGTTCTAGGTTCAGAAGCTGATTTATACGTTGTTTTAGTCATCTTCCCTTTAATACAGGCTTCACATTCTTCTAACTTATCATTTTTATTGAACGCCATGCCTTGAACCTTATTATTTTTTAGTGCTAATTTCAAATCTTGCTCATTCGCATGTCCTAGCTTTTGATGCCACTCCATAATATTATTACAATATGAAGAGTTGACTTGTGCTTTTACATGTCTTGGCGTTATATAATATAAACCATCTTCACGCTTAAACGCTCTCATTGTTATCTTTCCTTTTGCATTCTTTACTGTGGCCACTTTGTCTCGGAATAAAATGGTATTTCCATAACTTGTACTTTTTCCAACTGACATTAAGTTAGTATTTAGGCTTGGTACATATAGAGAATTAAACAAATTGTGTCCTGATTCTGGTACCTTGAAAGTGACCGTGCCTTTTCCTTTTATTTCTGTGTAAAAGTTATCTGAGGCTAGGCTGAGATTTTGTTTAATTTCTTGCATATCATGCAGATAATCTCTATTTTTGGTCATGTGTGACGTACAACCACTGTCAAGAACCCATTCATCTTCTTCAATAATTTTGTTGTTAAGTGAAGATAGACACTTTTCATTGGCTAGATTTGCCGAGTTGTTGTTATTATTACGTGTTGCATTTTTATTTTGGGACGTACTTGGTTTGTTGTAACAATCTGTAATTGTGTGCCCTCCTTTTTTGCAATAAGTGCAAAACTTGAACTTACGCTTTTCTTTGTTTTGGCCATAAAAGGCTTCTTGCTGTACATTGACTGTATTTTCGCTTGCATAGCAATGCTTTCTTGATCCACTTTCCTCGATTATTTTAATTTTTAACTCTTCTGGCTTAGGTAGAACATCTCTAGTTTCGATTGCTACTCTAAAGTTGTCATACGACGGAGAGAGACTATACAGCATTATAAAAGTGAGGATGTCGTCATGAACTTGTATGTCCATTTCCGCTAGTTTATCAGCAGTTTCCATAAATTGCTTCAAATGATCTTTAATTTGATCGTCATTTGTAAGTTTTGACAGAAGCAATTGTTTCAATAGCGATGCTCTTTTGGCTGGCCCTTTGGAATCATAAATGCTTTTTAGCTTGTTGTTGAATTGTCAATTATTGAAATTATTACAGCTCTTATTAACTATTTAAGTAAACCAAATCTTATAACACCTAATATACCGCCCAACGTTGCCCCTACCTCGAAATCCCATGCCCATCTCGAAATATATTACTACTAACTTTGTTCACAATGGACCACCGATTAATACAATGGAATTGTAGAAGTATCTCGAATAAAAAAACTGATTTAATTTATTTACTCATCTGATGGGTATGGTAGAGTCGCCATACTTGTTAAAAATTTTCTTTCCTTTCAGTCTTTTCCCTGACCTTCTTTCAGCGATGGCATTGATGCCGTCTTCTCTTCTCCATGTGGTAGTGATCATTTTCCTATAATTATTACTTTCCCGTGTTCCTCTCATAGTTGCATAAAACGCAGTCACCGTTTAAAACACAAATTGCCAGATGATTGGAGTATTTTTAAAGATAGAGTAGACAAGAAAATAGCATCTTTACCGAATATACTCACTGATAGTGTCTCAGAATGTTCAGAGGCTCTTAGTAATCTCCTGATAGAAGTTGCTGATGAACTTTTTGCTTTAAAAATGCCCCAATCGTCGAGAATCCCTTTTCCACCTTGGTGGGACAAAGAATGTTCGGATGCAATTAAAAAAAGAAAAGCGGCTGAGCGAGTCTACCGTAACGCAATGACCGCAGAAAATTATGAAGTTTACAGCCAAATCGCACGTGTGACCCGTAAGCTGCTTAAGAAGAAAAAGTTTGATGGCTGGAGACGTTTTTGTGTATCTATTTGTCCTGACGTCCACCCAACCATTGTATGGCAAAATATAAGAAGGTTTAGGACTGGTACGAACACCTCATCTCAGTGTTCGTTACCTCCAAATTTAGCAAGCATATTTCTCGATAAACTTGCTCCTCTTTCGGTTCCTGAATCAATTATAGCACAATTCCCATTTCCTCAATCAATTGGTAGAACAGGTCGCCTCCTTTACTTTGTCTGAACTGAAAGGCGTTTCAACAAAAGTCAAAGATTCTGCCCCTGGTGAGGACGGCATTCCATATTCCTTTTTTGTTCATAGTAGCGACAACACTCTTTTATATTATCTAGATGTAGTTAATGGCGTCATGCTTTCTGGGATAATTCCATCATCTTGGAAATCACAGTCTATCATAGCTATTCCTAAACCTAATAAACCACCATCTATAGTCTCCTCTTTTAGACCGATTGCCCTTTCCTCTGTACTTGCTAAAATTGCAGAACATTTAGTTAAAAATTGATTGGAATGTTTCTTAGAAAGTAAAAAATTACTTTCAAACAACCAATTTGGATTTAGAAAAGGTAAAAGTACTATTGACGGTATATCGATGGTATTAGCATTTTGGTTACTGATATTCGCCTCGCCTTCACTAATAACAAGTAAGTACTCTCGGCATTTCTAGACATTAGTGCAGCGTACGAAAGCGTTATTATATCTGTATTACAAAAGAAATTATACGATCTGAATGTACCTGTATTACTTTCAAAGTTTGTAATCAATATGTTGTCGGAAAGGCGCATCAATTTATATCCTGACGACAGTTCTGTTATGTCCAGGCTAGTATGGAGGGGACTTCCTCAGGGATCTGTACTTAGTCCAATTCTTTACAATATTTATACCTACGACCTGAAGGTTGCTCTCCAGGACAAAGTTGGAATTTTACAATACGCTGACGATTTGCTGTTGTACGCATCTGATACTAACATTCATAGAGCTTGTAATATTTTGTCCTCATCTCTTAATTTTTAAGACTTTGGTTGGATGCTAATGGACTTTGTCTGTCTGCTTCAAAAAGTGTAATAATCTTGTTCTCTAGGATACGCTACCCACCGGATCTTGAAATTTAATATGATTCCATTCCTGTTCCAGTTAGACTTCAAAATAAATTTCTAGGGATTGTACTGGACTCTAAATCACTGGTATTCCTCACTGTGAATATATTACGGCTAAATGTGAACGTAACCTAAATATTCTAAAATGCCGGTGTCTGGTGGGGTGCGCATACTTTCTCTCTCTCTGTTTATAATGCCATAATAAGGAGTGTATTGGACTACGCCACTTTTCTTTTGGAGCCAAGTAGTACTACGGCATTTAAAAAGACAATATTCAATCAAAGGCTTTGAGAATTCTGTCAGGTGCTATGAAGTCTAGACCCCTAAAAGGCATTGCAGGTCGAGTGTGTAGATCCTCCACTTCGATTGCGACGTCAGTTTTTGTCTGACAGGTATTTCTTTCGATGCTTGCAACTTTCAAATCATCCTCTTCTATACAAACTACAATGTCTCTCTCTAAAAATAACATCTTCTCCATACTGGACTCGAAAATCTCTACCAAGGCTTGTCATTAGTTTTCACAAATACCTTGCTCTTGAAGCCCCCACTTATCAATATTCTCAGTATCCTCTTTTTTGTTATACTTACGAGGTTGTAACTTTAACACCAGATATTCGTTTAAATTTAGGAATTAATAAAAGTCATTTTGATGCTCCTCAATCTTTACGCTTTATTACTGAGAGTGATTTTGATGGTTGGCATTATTTATTTAGTGACGCATCAAAACGCTCTCTTGCTGGAAATGTTGGAGTGGGGAGTGTATCATCAGCAATCTAAAATAGTCCAAAAGTTTAAGTTACCACCTGAAACTTCTGTATCTCCGGTGTGAGAATGTTTTGGTTTGTTTAAAAGTGTAGAGTTTATTCTAATAGCTAAGTTAAGCAAGAGTATAATATTTTCTGACTCTAAGAGCGCACTGCAATCATTGTCCAAGTTTCCGTTTAGTCCTAAACTGATTTGCCCCATTATATTAGAAATTTGCTTTATCAGTGTACAATAAAAGGTTATTCTGTAGTGTTTGCTTGGGTGCCGAGTCATTGCGGCATCCCAGGCAATGAACGCGCAGATCAACTGGCGGGTGAGGCGATTGATTGCGGTGATCTAGCATTTTTTACTAATTACTGTCATGATTTAGATGCACTGCCCGCGATTTCTCTCAGGAATTCCTGGCAGGAATTTTGGAGTGTTAGCAGCCGTACGAAGGGATCGTTTTATGCGAGTATACAACCCTCTATTCCTACTAAGCCATGGTTTTCCAAAATGAAATTTGGAAAGTTGGCCACAAGTGTACTGATTCGCATGAGACTGGGGCATGTGTGTTCTCCAGCCCACTTAGCCAAGTTTAAAATTATAGACAGTGACCTTTGCGAGTGTGGAGAGATAGGTGATCTAAATAATATTGTACTCAACTGTCCTTTATACGATCATTCCTTTTTATTCCATGTCCTCATCTCCATTGGATTCCCTCTTCCTACTACTGTAAAGCTTATTTTATCATCTAATAGTCCTATTATGTATAAATGTTTCGCTTCGTTTATAACTTTCAATTGTATCAAATTATAAATATGTAGCTATATTACGTTTGTCACAAAATTGTTATGTTTGTATTTTATATGTTTGTATTCCTATTTAACCTTAATCGCACTTCCCCGATCCTTTCTTCCAAATTATTTTCCCTTTCCATTGTTTTCCATGAATAAGTTTCCCCGTTTTGCAGTGGCACAAATGCAAGCCGCGAAGTGCCAGAAACAACAAAAAAAAAAACCATTCAACCATTGTTTTCCTTGTCAACAAAGAACAGATTCGCTCTGGGCCTTTTGGAGGGAAAAGTGTCGTTTTTATTTTGACTTTGAATTATTTTGTGAAATCTAGTTTAAAGTGGAATAGGATAGTGCTATTGTGCCTTTATCGAAGATTAAAACGCGAAATTATACGAATCTCGAACTAAAATACCCGTATCGGCCCGTTCTAAGGAATCCCGATTCAATCCAAGCTCGCCGCCGCCTCAAATTGCCTATCCTCTTTGTGGTGGCCATATTTACAGAAATATAATTAAACGTTTATGTTTTCGGCTGAATGTCTTTGTTTCCATGGCCAGCAATAATTTAAAAAAAAAATCAAAGAACATTTTTGTTTTGAATGTGTGTGTGTGAAAAATTAAAATAAAATTATAAAGGTCTTATAAGGAACGTGAAAACAACGTAGATAAGAATAATAACGAAGCAGAATAAAATAAACTATATAAACGTCACGTTGAGTCTTATATTTAGTAGATTGATGGTTAGAGCAAGGCTACAGTAATATTGAGAATGATAAGGTTTTAACGTGGATGTAATGTAATGTGATATAAAGTTTCGGTAATTAATGTACTAAAGAGTCGTGGGCCTAACATGATGGAGTTCGACAACGACGAGAATACCTGGCGACCGTCGTCGCCAAAGGAGGACAATAAGAAGTGCCAACCAATTCCCAAGCGCTCCACGTCTGTGGCGGTCGTTGTGCTGGGTCTGGCTGTACTTAGCTGTCTTCTTGGATATTGTGTGCTTAGTGAACAGCTACCATATGAATCTAAAACTTTACGACTAGTTATTATTGTAAGTTTCAAAACCATTTAGTTTTTGTAAGACAATATGTTGTTTATTCTTTGTCTTTTTTTATATTTTTTTCCACAAATTCTATCTGATTCTAGTTCTTCCGTCATGGCGCTAAAATACCTGAAAGTACTTACAAAAGTGACCCTTTTAGAAACTATCAATGGAAAGATGGAGCAGGTGCTCTCACTAATGTAAGTGTTACTTTTGTAAATAACTATATAATATTAGCATTATTGAATATATGCACTTAATCATATTTTCATTCCTGTACTACAGACTGGCAAAATACAATTATATGAATTGGGCAAAAAGTATCGCAGTTACTATGCAAATTTTATCCCTGAAGAATATTATGATAAAGATGTTTATGTAAGAAGCAGTGATAAGAGCCGGTGTATGATGAGTGCATATACATTTCTGGCTGGTCTTTATCCACCCACTGAGAGGCAAATGTGGCATCCTGACATTCCCTGGCAGCCCATTCCAGTGCATTCTTTGCCTAGAGAATTGGACAATGTAAGTAATTCTTGCATTCTTTCTTTTTCCTTTTCACAAGATTTCAGAAGTGAAGCCAAATAGGATTACAAAAAGTGCCACTAATTTTTCTACATTTTTGTGACTCCAGATAGTAGCAGGAACAAAACAGTGCAAAGTATGGAAAGAAATGTATGTGGAGCTGCTAGAAGAAATGAATGCGGATCCAAAATACACAGATTTGTTTGACTATCTGAGTAAACATACAAATCAAAGCATGAGAAGCATTCTAGAAGTGGATTATCTGTATAGTGCACTGATGGCTCAGCAAGAGTCAAATCTCAAGATACCAGAGTGGGCCAAGAATGTATTTCCAAACAAAATGCGTACTCCATTTATGCTCAGTCTTGCTCTTCTATCATACAATGAAACTTTGCAGAGATTTAAAGTAGGTAAGGATAAAATATTAGATGAGAAAATATAAACATTAGATGTATAATATTACTAATAATAATGTTATTTGGTGATATTAAAATATAAAATTCTAACATACCATAAAGTCTAGAGCAAAGTTTCTTTGAATTTCCTCTTGTTTTCATGCTATAAACGAAAGATTTAGGAATGCCCAGTGGTTTAAAATATAGCATGTCCCCATTGACTTACAAACAAATGGATGACGGGTCTAATACAAAAACCACGAAAAAAAATGGCCCAAATCAACCTATTTAAACTTAGTTACTTGTAAAGGAATATGAAAAAGCTAAAATGTTGAATTTAAATTGTAATGTCATCGCAGTACTGTCTAATTTTGCTT